GTCATTTGAAATACTGCTTCAAGTCATTTTTTTGAGGCTGGGTTTTGAAGAGAATAAAAGTGTATGAAGGATGTGATGAAGAGGAGGATCCAAGAAAAGGGCCTAGGGAGGAAAATGGGGCACAGGAGGACCTACTTCACAGTTCACAGGGGCTGACGGCCGGCAGCCTCCCTTTGCCACTGTCAAGCAGCCACAGATAATAAACACACTTTTTTTCTTTTTTCTTTTGGCAATAGCACACCTCAGGTTTTCATATTTTCTTTCAGAGTCCCCTAGAAAACACACATCCTCATACTGATCTTGACATTTTCTGGGGCAGTCAGGTTAATATTAATTAAAGTGATAAACATCCTGAGTCCACAACAATATTCTGCCCAGCTCTAATGTCTTTGTGTTTCTTTCCTTGCACATTGTCCCCTCTCCTTCTTACCTTTCTTAGCTTTACCAAGTAGGCCCAGCAATGACTATTTTCTTGGGGAAAAGGTTTTAAAAAACCTTACAGACTTAGGGGATAGCCAGGGTACAATCTTTTACACACCATTGCAATACAAGGACATCCTTGTGAAGCCTGGCACAATACAATATGCCTAGCAATCATATTCCAATTGTCAGACTCTCCATTGCCATTGTCTTATAGAGAGAGGCCAGGTCCTGATGCTCATGGCTTTGAGTGTCTATCCAGCGTGTGACCACTGTGTGGGATTCAGAGAGTGAGATGAGCAAGGTCAGTGACATAGGAAGGCGTTATATTAACCTTATGAAAAGATTTGCAGATTTTCTAAAGTACATGTAAAGTTGCAATACCTACTTTCTAATAATTTCCTTAACTCTGTCTCGGTCTTCTTTAATTTTAGTGAACTCAGTCTTCTCAATTCCCCAAAGAGTGAATTAAAAACCCAGAGATGCCCTGGAGAAAGTCTTTCAGTCTCTCTCTTTGACTGGGTGCTAAATGCTTGATGGTATCACATGCATGGGAATTAAACAAATTTTTAACTGGTGCATTTAAATTATACATAATAGTGGGATTAATTGTGACATACTAGTACATGCACATAACATAATTTGGTCAATTTCATTCCCTAGCACCTCCCCTGCCCCTCCCCTCTTCCTTCCCCCAGTCCCTTCCTCCACTCTACTGGTCTCCTTTCTATTTTCATGATGTATGGGAATTTCTAAGAAGCCAATTCTCATGCCCTGCTCTGGTGCATGCTTCCTGGGTAGTTAGTGGTTGCAGCCCACATCTGTTGAGAATTGGCCCAAAGCCAGAAACCTTTGTTCTCTGAATTGGAAAGGAACTCAAATGTGGGCTGTTAGGGGTACAGGGAACCACAGCAAGTGCACATTATGGGGGCTCTGTTGCCTCATAAAGAAGCTGCATCTGTTGGATGAGGCAGCTGGTGAGAAGGCCAAGTCAGCAGTGGATGTGAACAGTTTCCCAGCCCTGGGGCCTACTTGTCCCACCACTTCCCACATTTCCTCTTAGAAAATGGGCTCTTCCAGGTTTATTAGCCAAGCCAGATATGACTATTGGCATCAGTGTGGTGGTATACACACCACTGAACAAAGAGATCCTTCCAGATGTGATGATGGAGACAAGATAGCTTGGGGTATGGAAGCCAAAGAGCCATGGCAAAACCACCAAGGTCAGCCATCCTGACCCTTACTGGAAAGATCTATACAGAGAGAAAGGTATAGTAGAAAAAAAGTTTCTCTTTCATTTTTCTCATTAAGATAAAGGTTAGTAAATGCTGGTACAAAATTGTCTCCCTTCCACATAATTGATATGCACTGATAGTGGAGTTAATCAGAACATGTAGGATAGAGTCTCAATTTTCATTCTAAATTCTGTATGTGCAATGTACAGGAACTATGAGAGTTATATTCCAATGGAAATAGAGTAATTAGAGACCTGTTTTACACAGAGACTTGGAGTATTTACATTGGAGAGAGGGGACAATTTTTCTCTGGAGTCAGATTCACTTACTTTGAGCCTCTAGACTAACAAGCCTGTGTTGACTTGTTCTGGGTTGTTTGCGAGTAAACCAGGCCTGCCTTAAGCACACTGTAGAATGAGGTGTGGAATAGAAAATCAACATAGGCCCAGAGAGATGGAGTTGTCTGAGGTGATAGTGCTTTTTTCTTCCATCCAAGGCCTATGATCTGAGTAGCCAGTCCACACAACTGGTACACTTGGGACTATGCTTGGGAGCTTTATAGGATCTGTAGATTGTGTAGACTCCAAGGTTCACTTTTGAGGCTTTCCAGGAGTGATATGGCAATGGCTCAACCTTTCCTAATGACATATGCAGTGATGGTGTTGTTGGACCTTATAGGTAGAATCTCCCAAGTCATTCTGAGACAGGAATCCTCAAGGGTTGTAAGGTCAGTGGAGTTCAGGCTCAGTCTCCAAACCCTGCTCTGGGAACATGTCTTTGAGAAAAATGCCCACAAATGGCGCAAGGTGGTGCTAACTTTCAGACTTGCATGAGATGGGGTGGGGCCGAGAAGCAAAAAGCAGGAATAGGAAGGGACCTGGTTTAGGTCACTTCCCTATTGAGATAAAAACAGTCTGGGCATAATAATCATTGGAAGATGTGAACTCAAAGTGAGGAGCTGGGAAAGAGAACTGAGAGGTGGAAAGTTTATAGAGATCAACACTCTGTGTGGGTAGATTTCAAAAAAGGTATGATTTAAAAAAGTGGAGGCCCAAGGATCAAGAATAGAGATTTAGGAATAAATGCTGCAGAAGATACCAATTGAATGACCAGGTTTGAAATAATAATAGCATTTTACAAAAACTAATGTTATACTGTCACAAGATAGTTCAGGTTGCCTGAGATAACAGAGAAATGAAAGAGGAAATCTCTCCACAGAGGTTTCTGAAGAAATTCAAAAATTTAACTTGTACATTAACCTTGTAATGGAAATGAGAATGTACAGACAAGGGAGTTAGCTTCAGAAAGGAAATACTGAGAAATACAAATAAGTCATGATACTTGCAGAAAAAGTGAAAATTCCATGCTTAATAAGTGGTCGGACTTAACGTAGGTTAAAAAATATGATTTTCCATCAGAATATTAGTAGCAACATTTCAGTATACTTGGGTCTGGATGCCTCTTGTCAAGTAAAAAGGGAAGCTGCTATTCTGTGAGTTCAATAATGGACACACAGGGGACAATTAGTTTGATCCCTGATTCTGTGGTTTAGCAGGTCCTCTGGCTCAGAAACACCCTGAGATGGTTTGTGTTTTCAGGCCTTTTGTTTTTGAATGCTGTATGCGGCTATTACTGTACCTAAGGGCCTTGACTTTGCCTGTGTAGGTATGAAAACTCCATACTGGAAATAAAGATGACTTTTTGCAAGCCTTGCCTAAGACCTACTTAATATTAGTACCTCAAGTAGCTGGTAAGTTTGGATTCTCAGACTATAGCATAGGAATGTACACTTCCCAGTCTTTTTCTTACTGCCCCTAAATATAGCCAGAGAATGTTCTGTCTGGTTGCTTGGGAGCCAGCTGTATCTTCCTTTCTTGCAGGAACATTCTAAAGGGTTCCTTTAGAAAACTTGGGAAACTGTAAGACTAAAGACAAGCCACAGCCTGAAGCCCAGGCTGCTGACTTGAGCACAGATGGGAGAATGTTAACAGCCAAGAAATACGAGGTCTTTGGCTCCTTTCCCAGAACTGCCAGGCTAAGACCTTGGCAGAGACTCAACAGGAAACTGAACTCTATTTGCATATCCTTTTATACATGGGAGATTAAAAGCTTCAACCTTGAGTGATCACAGTTTTTGAGAATCATGAGGAGGCATTAAAGAAGAGGAGGAGTGTCCCAAGGGAGGTGAGCTGGAGGCGATGCAAGGTAGCTGTAGGGTTAGCAATGACTTTCAATCCCCTTTGATTAATCATGAGTGTATTTCATTTAGTTCCTTTTTTAAATTTTATCCTTATCAGGTCACATAAAGGCATCAGCAGGGCAGGGATCTGTGCTTCGCAAGTCTTGGGAGTCTGACAAATTTGATCCCCTTTGTCCCATGGCTAAATGCTCCTCTTTCTTTCTGGGCAGAGACCTGTATAGCTTCTTGGTGCTGAAGGAACCTTGGAGGTAATCTAATATAACTCTTTATTGTACAGATGAGAATCTGGGCTCAAAGAGATTAACCAACTTGTCCAAAGTCACACAAAAAGTTAGGAGTAAATGTTCTGACTCACAGTTTTCTTTTCCAACAGGCGGCTGGCCCTCCTTAGCAGGTGGAAGTTTCCTCAGATCTCAGAGAGCTGCTTTCCAGCATGGGGTTTGGCACAGATGTGCCTCCTGATGGCTCCCATCAGAACAGGCATTTCTGGCAAGAGAGCAGCTCTGATCCCCTGGCTTTCCTGGACCAGGCCCCTATAATTCTTTAATGCAAGAAGCCAGAGGACTGGAATGAGGATATTTACCCCCAGGATTCATTTAGGGGAACTTGGCTTTCTTGGCCACATAGTATAGTGAAAACTGCCCTATGCAGACAGCATGGGGAACATGAGGATGGACAAGTGTCACTCTTCACAGGCTAGTAATTAATTTTATTTTTCCATTTTAAGGATGGGAAAGAGTCTTTCTACTCCTAAATTAGATATATCCCTTTATTAAATATATCCTAAGATGGAGAGATCCTTTGAGAGACCATCCTTGAAGCTGGATGAGACCAAGCTTTCTGAAAATTGAGACCCCCTTGTACAGCTTTTGTCCCAGACATTCGAACCTGATCAGTTGGAAAGAAGTTTGGTATTAAAAATTCATTCTCCCTAGTACTTTTGGTGAAGTGGAGTCACCTTCATTCCAGTCAGACTAAGGGCAACGAGGGCACAGTGTCTTACTGATGAGATTGACCTCACAGTGGTGGTCTTGTGTTTAGGGCTTTTACTATCATTAGTAGCACAGGAGAGAATTCAGGGAGGTTGTATGGGAAGAACACTCCTGATGAGTTTTTTTTTTTTTTTTTTTTGGTATTGGGGATGGGACTCAGGGGCATTTAACCACTGAGCCACATCCCTAGACCGTATTATATTTTATTTAGAGACAGCGTCTTGGTAAGTTGCTGAGGCTGGCTTTGAACTCACAATCCTCCTGCCTCAGCTTCCTGAGCTGCTGGGATTACAGGTATGTGCCGTTGCACCCAGTGTAATGAGGTATTTTTATGAAAAGTATGCTGGCTGTACATGTGGATTTCTTATTTTGGAAAAATGCTAGTGGTCATCGGCATGATCCTTCTATTATGCATCTTTCAGTCTTTTCTGAGTGAAAATCAGTCCACTTCTGACCATTAATTGTTGGGAGGAATGGAGGATTAGTATTACTGACTACCTTTAGTGTGCCAGTCACCCAGGTTTGCCAGATACTCACCAGAAATTAATTAATTTAATACTTGTAATGACTCTGAAATTATTACCCCTATTTTATGGATGAGGCTTAGAGTAGAGGCTTAGAGAAGTCTTTTTTATTTTATTTTTTTACTAGTTGCTCAAAACATTACAATGATCTTGAGAGAAGTCTTTTTTAAGGTCCCAGAACTACTAAGCAAGACATTGTGATTCTCATATTTTTGATTCTTCTCATTCATAAAAGAACTCTCAGAGATAAACATACAGGCAATTCATAATCAAAATTTCTTAAATCATTTGTGTTAAGATAGGTGAAAGGATCTTGCCAAAGTTAGGGACATTTGTAGGTTGCTTTTAAGTTCAACACACACTAATATTTTTGTGAATGATTAGGCCTATTTGTTTTTATATATGGCTTTCCTATCTTCACTCTACTGCCACTTATTTAAGAGAGGAAAACATATTTTTTAATTGTACTGAGACTTCGTGTCAAAGCAGTGAGTGAAAAAGTTATCATGGATTTGCAAATGGGAGGGATTATAGGAGGTAGCATCTGGAACTCCAGGAAAACCCCACTCCTATCTTTTTCTCACTTTGGCATGAATCACATGTTTTGACCTTTGTTATTTCCCCCCGTGTCCCAAAAGTCAAGAGCTAAGAAAAGCAACCTTGTTGGGCGGCCAGCCCCACCTTAAAGGCAGGTGAGGGTTAGGTTTATACATACCCAGTAAACATCCAGAATAATCCTTCTGGCCAATAGGACTACTGAGAGGCTCTCTCAAAATTCATCCTGGTGGGCCCCCATCTGTCACTTTTCTCCTCACTCTTTGCCCCAACCAATTCTGGATTCAGTAAGTCAGAAGGGAAAAGACCAAGGCAATTCAAAGAAGTAAAATGGAAAAGTAATGTTCATACAAGGATAAGAGTGTAGTTCAGATATGATCAGGGTGGAGGTGTATACTGGGAGGGGGAGATCCAGTTAGGGAAAGATTGTACATGCAGATTCTCTTTTTATTCTGGCTACCAGGGAGATTCCAGTCCCTCTCAGTTTCTCTGGGTTCCCAGTGGCAAAACACAATAATAATATTCAGCTTAGTCCCCCTCTTTTAGTCTGTTGGCTGTAAATACAACTGATTGTCAAAATTGTCACTGATAACAAGTGATAACAAGTCTCCCTCCACGGAAGATGGATAATACTCAATATCTCTCAAAAGACTAAGTTTGGAAACACATTCACATTGCAGAAGTTTGGTGTTACCAATTCATATAGAAGAGTCTGAAGTTAAACTCCAGATTTGCAGGTAAGTATCAGGGAGTTCCAATATTTCTATTGTCCCTCCAAAGACTGACTGGACCTCTAGGCAAGAGGAGGCATTGATAAGAATCTCAAGAGACAGAATAAGATTCTCACCTCACCTCCCAATGAGCACTTCTGCTTGCCATAGAGAGACAGCGCAAGGAGGATCTGCTGAGGCATACCACCAGGTGCTGGGGTCTGAGGATGGAAAAGTGCCACAGACATACCCAGAGGCTGCTGGTCTTCTCAGATGCCGAGTGAAGGGGCAGCATCATGGGGACACGAGAGGAAACTGTCCTGGTCTCTATGCACACTTCCTTTGATAGAGTAGTTTATGAAAGTCAGAGAGGACTCTGGGAGGGCAATGAATTCATTCTTTGCCCACAGACATGATTTTAATCATCAGTTTTTGATATATTCCAGAAAAAGGAGACTCTCTGGTTGTGTGGCATAGTGGTACCCTTGGAAGCAGGCTGTCTTGTGCTTATGTCCTGGCTTTGCCACTTACCAGCCATGTGACCTTGGGCAATACCTGTACCTCCTTATGCTTTGGTTTCTTTATTTGTAAAATAGCAATGGATCCTTGTGAAGATTAAACAGATTAGAACATAACTACTTTGAACAGTGACTTGCATATAAAAAAGTTCTCCAAGACTGTAGGACATCAATCATGATTATTACTAGTAACTTCTTGCAGTTGCTAATGATTTTTTTTTTCCAAGGGAATTTTCATTTTAAAATTCTTTTTGCAGAATCTTCAGAAAGCTTTTCTTTTCCCAACTAATTGAAATGGGGATGACTTATCATAGGATTTATTGAAGGGACCTCAGGCTGTATCTAGTCAGTCTTCTTCACCTTACAAATGAGTCCAGGGAGGTGATGGGCTCAAATTCTTAAAGGGCAAAACTAGATTTGAAACCCAAGTTATAGTCTAAGATTTCTTTTTCCATTTTGTAATAACTTCATGCATAGCAATTAAACATTGTCTAATTTCTTTGTGGCTCACTTAGGGCAACTCAGAAACGGACCAGGCCTTATCCTGTGGAAGGGGCTCATCAGTGGTGATTATAATAAACTGTCATAATCATGGCACCTCATTGGCTTTATTTTTCTTTACAGCATTATCCTATTGTAGACTTTCCCTTTTGTTGAAAAAGAAAGGAGGGGCGCTATTGTCTCTGAATGGAAGGAGGGAAAGACTGTAAGGCAGGCTGTGGCTATTGATCCATCTGTTCCTCAGCAGAGCAGGCTGGAGGCCCTGCTGTGAGGAGCAGGATCCCTAATGAGCAGGGTTGTACAGGTTGAGATGAGAGAGAAGGAGACCAGCCTTTCTTCTTTCACCCAGCAACACGTGCTGCACACCTGCTATGTGCTCAGTATGATGCTAGGTATCTATAGGAATGCAAAAAATCCAGGGCAGTGTTTGAGACTTCAAGGAATTTCTTTAGAAAGAGACAGAGATCACAGACTGAACTGTAGGCAAGCTCTGGAGTTCTTCAAGGGCCTTGTACTCCCACAACAGAGAGAAAACTTCTTGTTCTCTAAGCCCACAAGTTGGGAACTCAGCTTGGCTGGAAAGAGAAAGATTTTCCAGGTGGCCGGAGGAGAGAGTCGCAGGGATGTGGACCGGAAGTGCATGGGTAATAGAGCACTTTCCTGGGGCAACCAGGTGTCAGGGTATGGAGGAAAGAATTCAGAGTTCTTATGGTTTTGCCACTAACTGGTTGTGTGATACTGGGGAATTCACTTCATTTCTCCATTCTTCATGTTCTACTTCTTCTCCTGAAAAGGTTGAAATCAGGCAGAGGTTAAAGTTTCTCACTGTTCTACCACTCTGTGCGTGTAGGAGTGGATATCCTCATATGCAAAGAGAAATCGGCTTTGATGTGGAGAAATGGGCTAGGTGTGAACTCAAAGACTTTGAGCTGATTCTTCCTATTGAAGAGGGTCATTGATGCTGAGCCACCTCTCTGATTTCCACTGATAGTGCCAGTGACCCTGGCCCCTTTGTGGTTCTTTGATCCTTATTTATGAACTTGGTGCATGAAACTCTTCCTCACTGCTTTAGAAGACCAGGGCAGTTAATCTCCTGCCATTCACTCATGATTATAGCACAGGAGCAAAGCAAACATGGTTGAGGTCTCAATGTAGGAAGAGCCTCCCACATGATAGCTAAGACAGCACACACGAGGCTGCAGTTCCTTGGCATTGTCCCTGTGGAGGCTGGCTTCCCTTTTCAATGCCTCTGAATAATACTTTGTCAGATGGCAAGTGAAGTTGGAACTTGGCCCAGGCTTGTGACTCCAGCATGCCCGGTAGCCCTGGAGGCTGAACCCCTAAAGCATGGTGTGGGCTTGCACACAGTCACCCTACTCCTCAGATTTCTCTGGAATGACTTCATGGAGAGGAGGAAAACTCAAGAACCTCACTTGGGTGGCATGTGTTTTATTTTAGCTTCATAATTTATTGGGACATTGATCTGCAAGTGTAGCCGAGGCTGCAGCTTGTGTCCTAGAGCGGAGGCAGCTTGGGACCAGCAAAGGAGATGCATCTTCCACTTTGTACACCTTCCTTTTCTGGAGAATCAGTCCATAGATATGGTCACACAAGTTGGGAGAGAGTCAAGGCAAAGGGATTAACATGACGACATCTCATTTTCCACTTGTCAATAATTTAATTCTGCCTTCATCCTTTTCATGTTGTAAGTTTTGATCTTTTCTGGTCTGCTTCCCTACTCCAATCTATCCCCCAGCACATACTTTGTGCTAATTAGTGGACTTCCATCACCTGGGCTTGAAAAATGAAAGTTTGAGCTACTGTGTAAGACCCCTCAGCAAGATAAGTAGGAAAAGCAGTTTCCTTTTCCCAACTCACAGAAAAGCTATTGTTATTATGTGTCTTAAAAGTGTACATTAAAATGTTATTTCTAACAGAGGACTCAGAAAACACCTAAATTCCAAATACTGGGTGCCCTGTCCATATCCCGGCCTTTGCTGAAATATCACCTTCCTTGACATCCTGATGGAAAATTGTAATCTCTCTAGCCCCTTGGCAACACCTTCTCTGATATTCTCTCTCTCTCTGTTTTATTTATCTAACATATTTACTTATTTAATTTTGTATTTATTTCCATCAAAATATGAGCTTCATGAACTTCCCAGAGCCATATCCCTAGTGTTTCTAAAAATGTACCTGGCACACAGTAGGTTCTTAATAAATTGTTATTGAATGAATAAATGAATGTTGTTACATTCTATGAACACAACTTTAATCTCTAAAATCTATACTTGGGATTGATTTTCCTTCTTAATAATTTGTTGCCCTAGTAGTATATTTATACTGACATTTCTTTTCCTGAAAGCTATAAATACTCATGAGGTTTAGTCCTTAAGCCAGAAAAGGATAATTTAAACTTCCTTAGTCTACTCTCTGCATCCAGGTAAAAAGAAAACTTATGACGGTTAGATTTCTTATTTAAATAC